CACGACTTCCTTGTGAAATCGATTACCATTGCGATTTTTCCGGACTAATACGACTTAGGGACGTTCAAGAAAAGAGCCTACTCCTTTTTGAAAAGGCCGGCAACGAATCTGCAATTCCCCTGGATCCCCTGGTGTTGTAGTTGTTCATGGGCGGCGGTAGTCACTTACCATCAGATGAGCCGCATGCTGGTTTGCCCCCTCTCCTATAAAAAAAAACCTCATAAACTATTGGTCAGATCTTGATCAATTTATATGGGACCACGTGTGAAGCACCAGCTTTCAAATAAAAAAAGAATCATCGAAATCGGTTCACCCAGTCCACACATAAGAAGACATACAGTGGAATTGAGTACCGACTCCTTTTTGAAGTCGGTAGAAAAAGTTTCTATTTCTATTTCTGTTTATCCGTTTCGTTTTTGACGAGGTTGTCTTGATACGGAACGTGATTGCATGCAGGCATCCTAATTCGCAAGGCGACGCCGACCACCTTGCTTCTGGGGCAGGCGGTGGCTGGTGTGGCAGGTGCGGGTGGTGTGGCAGGTGTGGCGGGCGTGGCGGCGAGCTGGCAGCTGGGCTCGCTGCGCGTGCTGCGTGCGCCCGTGCTCACCGCGCCCACGGCGCTGCACCTCGCTGCACACGGACCAGACCACGCCTGCGAGGTTCTATACTATTGCCGAAATACTCCAAGGCTGCTCAATTTTAAGATGCTGTGATGTTACTCAATGTTAAGTCTCGTTTTGCCTCTATTACTTGAAGTCAAAGTGACTGTGTCACCGTGGCGAGACTTAATGACATCTTAAAATTGAGCAGTGTTTGAGTATTTAGCCATATATCTATTATACTGATCTGAGCATACACACACACACACACACACACACACACACACACACACACACACACACACACACACACACACACACACACACACACACACACACACACACGCACACACGCACGCACGCACGCACGCACACATACACATACACACACACACACACACACACACATATACGTGCGCGCGCGCACACGCACACGCGCACGGACGCACACGCTTGCAATTCAAAATTATGGTCAAGTAACGTTTATGTTTTTACATATATTATAAGTGGTATAGCCATGATGCAGCTATATATTAGTAGTATAGTTGTAGCACGAATGGGTCGGCTCGACCGGGGAAGGACCACGCTCTCACACAATACCAGCGTAAAATAGCAGCTTAATGCTGCTGTGTTTCGTATGGCGAGTGTAGAGAATCGGAGACCCTTTTTACTGGAAAAGAGGCATTCCATCTTAGTCCTCACGGGTGACAACGCATCTGCATTTTGATTCTTTATTGAGGATAGATGTGGATGTCTATGCGTCACAGCAACCACTTACCATCAGGTGGACTGTGTGCTCGTTTGTCATCCTATTGTATGTGTGGGCCGTGTGGGCGTGGCATGGGAAAATACATCGTCCCATTTCATACCGAGAGACCTCCTACCGGTAAGCGAAATGTAGGGTGGCTTCCCACAAGATGGAGTATACAACCTGGTAAGATATGCAGGAAGTTGATGGATGCTGGTGGCTCAGGGCCGTGCTTTGTGGCATTCCTTGGGGGAGGCCTATGTTCAGCAGTGGACTTGTGAAGGGCTGTAATGATGACAATGATAATGACGTTGATGTCATAAGAGGTGGGTATTGGATGGATTAGAAAGATTTCGTCGGCTCTAATAGAGAACGGTATCTGGTACTACGAGCGCTAACCCACCTACTAAGTGTAGCGATTTAGGTAAATGGAGAATTATAAGAAGTAATTCTCCAACAGTGGACTGTTAGGGAATGATAAAAAAGATCGTATGGAGGCGGTGTAAGAATATCCACTACCTCATATCATCCCGTGTAAGAGTGTCGTAAGAGGCGACAGAGGGAAACAAATCAGGATATGGGCAGCAGCGTCTTCCTAATAATGATTAAAAATAAAAAACTGCGGTTGCTTTAAAAATAAAAAACAGCAGTGGACTTTAATAATCTGTATCGCTAACGGTAAAAAAAAGAAAGAACATTTATGTGTACGTTTTGACTGTTTTAGTTTCTATAAAATATTATAATATCTAATTGCTAACTCACTTTTCCACCAGACAATTCTGTGCACGCACAAGATTTATCAAAATTTTAATTCGTTTTTATATCATACCTAGCGACGAAATTACATCTCAGTACGTATGTCGCTTTTATTTATATAGAACTGTAATTTTGGTTAGAATACGTTTGTAATGAGTGATTAGAGTTATCAATAAGACCAATATCGACTTACGCAGTTGTGTGATATTATTCTCAGTTGATTAATGACGAATGACGAAGCTAGATATGTTAGGACGTCTTTTACTTAAAATGCTGGCTACATCAAAGTGCTGTTACCTACATTTGTAGATAATTTAGTTTTGTAAATAGTGTTTTTATATTTTTAATTATATTCTTTTATGTAGGTGCAATGTGAAGAGCCTAATTTTGCTGCCATAATGACGCCAGAAATTTTGGAAATGAACATCGATTGGGATCAGGTAAAAATATTTTGTTATAAACACATTTTGTTTTAATTTTTTATAATAATGTAAGAATACATTTTGGAATGGATTATGGAAGTAATTTAAAGATGTCACGACGTATACGTTGTAGAATCAAGTTGCAGCTACATTATGATTGTAGTACGAATGGGTCGGCTCGATCGAGGAAGGACTCACAGAATACCAGCGTAAAATAATAGCAGCTGAAAGCAGCTGTGTTTCGTATGGTGAGTGTTGAGAACCGGAGATCCTTTTTACTAGATACGATGCATTCAATCATAGTTTTCAGGAGTGTCAACGCATCTGCATTCTGATTCTTAATCGAGGATAGATGTAGATGTTGGTCGATCACGTCTGCGTAACCCTTTTCGCCATCAAGTTTATAGAAATAACACGTCAATATTTCCGGTCATTAGAATGTGTAGAAATTTTGACGAGGAGAAGCATCGTAACGCTGATCTGGACATTTTTAATTCTAACATCTCACAATTTAAAAGGTCTGTAATTGCTACGTTTGTAGCCGGTGGAAGGAAAGGGGGAGATCTCCCGCCGGGCAAGGTGTTCTGCCCGGGGAGCGGCCAACGCTCCGATTGTTATTGTATTTAACATAATCAAAAAATAACAATACGGCTTCCAGAAAAAGAAATCTACAACGCTAGCAACTTTTAATCTTATAAAAATAATAATTTCTAGTATAAATAAAAACCTACTAACTACAGGACTATTCTTTGATTTAAGTAAAGCGTTTGACTTCGTCACACATAGCTTTCTTCTAAGTAAACTAGAATCGTGTGGAATTAGAGGGATAGCACAAAAGTGGATTTCATCTTATTTATCAAATCGACGACAATGTGTTACTATTGATAAAATGGTAGGAAATGAAATACTATCCTTTTCGTCCCAGTACAGGGAAAAGAATTACGGTGTTCTTCAAGGCAGCGTTTTAGGGCCAGTATTATTTTTCTTATATATAAATGACATAACTCTAGCGACAAATCATAAATGCATACTGTATGCGGACGATATCTCCGTAATTATAACATCCCACAAAAATAGTAGTTCATTAGATAATTATGAAAAGGAAATAAATAGCACAATCGATGATATAATTAATTGGCTGCATACACACAATTTAAAAATTAACCTAAACAAATCAAATTACATACATTTTAATAAGATAAAAACTAATTTTAGTCTAAATATTAATAAAATTGACGAAACAGAACAAACTAAATTTCTTGGTGTGATTATAGATCGAAATTTAAACTGGAAGATACATATAGATGAGCTATGTAAAAGGGTTAATAGTTTTGTATATGCGCTACGTACAGTAAAAAATGTAACTAATAAAAAAACAGCCCTAATATCCTATCAGGCCTATATTGAATCTATACTCCGATATGGTATAATAGTGTGGGGTAATAGCACAGATTGGCGTAGGGTATTTATCGCACAAAAAAGTGCATAAGGGCGATATGTGGTATCTCAACAAGAGAATCTTGTAAGCCAAGATTCAAAAATCTTTGCTTACTAATTCTGCCATCGTTATATATATTTGAGTAAGGTAAATTTGTAAAACAGCATACAGCTCTATTTAAAAAGTACTCTGATGTTAATCCAAGGCTTAAAAGAAATCCGAATAGGTTAGTTCTAAGCGAAGTTCCGAAATCAACTAAATATAGTAAAAGCTGTTTATCAATGTGTGTACGTATATACAACAAAATACCTGACGAAATTAAAACAATAAATAATATGAATTTATTTAAAAATAGACTGTACCTTGGTTAATTGACAAAAATTTTTATGACATTAACGAATTTCTGACATTGTAAGCTATATTCTGACATTATATTCTGACCATTAGTGTGTTGTAATTCTGACATTGTATAATATGATTTGAAATAATGATTAATAATTTGTTAATTTTTAATATCATATAGGTCATTTTTTTTTGTTTAAAGTTTCTTATTGTTTAAACTCATAATTTAAATATAATTTGCATGCTATGTCATATTAAAATAGCAAAACATGAGAGCACAATACAACTAAAACATCTGTATCTATATTTACCATGTTTTATGAAAGTAAATATTATTATTATTATTAGTTAGGAGCTATCCTATATATGTTGCTTTAAATTCGGAACTTTGTTAGCGTGATTTAAGCTTCGATATGTTTCGCTTATGGCGCGACGACAGCGCCGTCACACGTTAAATATGTAAATTTAGGGAATATCATTAAATATTTTTCCGTAATTGCTACGTTAAATATGTAAATTTCAGGAATATCATTAAATATTTTTCTGTAATTGCTACGTTAAATATGTAAATACCACGAATATCATTAAATATTTTTTCTGTAATTGCTACGTTAAATATGTAAATACCACGAATATCATTAAATATTTTTCTGTAATTGCTACGTTAAATATGTAAATACCACGAATATCATTAAATATTTTTCTGTAATTGCTACGTTAAATATGCAAATTTCACGAATATCATTAAATATTTTTTATGACACTCGTTTATTATTAGAGTTTTGAATCTTGTTGTCATCTCATTTTTAATATTTTGTTTTGTTGTGCATACTCTATGGGATTATGGACTAGTTATAATGATATTTGTTACTGAAACTGTATTATGTATTGTTTTAAATGTGTTTGTGTGCCTTATTAATAAAAAATAAAATATGTGTATGGGCCACAATATCTACTTACCATCAGGTAGGCTGTGTGTTCGCTTGTTACCGTTATTCTATAAAAAAATATTTACGCCAAAAAGTGAGTAAAGTTGAACGCACATTTGTTTGCACCGTATGCGCCGCACGCACATTTACTGATGGCCTCGCACATTTCTACGTATGCGCCGTGCGCACCAAACGCAAATCTTTTGTATTGCCAAAAAAGGAGAATGCCAAATTCTCTATAGAACTTTGCCCCACCCAAAAGTGTGATGTACATGAATGCCGTATGCAATATTTTTTCTACTTTATTACTTCATTCAAATTATATAATTTGAAGTCTCTAGAACTTGCAATTTTTTTCAAACTGGACTTTAATAATAACATTTACCTTATGTTTCAGAACAGCATATTATTTACAAAATTATTTTTCAAGATACATGTTATTATGACTATGTCTGAAGATTTTAAGACAACGGCAGGACTATAAATTATCAACTATATAAAAATGCTATAAAACTAAATATATCTGTTGCAAAGATGTCCATGTTGAAAGTAGAGTTAAGATTGTAAATCGGAATGGGGACACAAAATGCTCCTGTATCCTATTGACGCAAGGATGACAATTAGTGCACCTCAACGTCGTGGCTGCTATTATCAGAATGTCCGTAGTAATTAGCAGTAAGTCAATAAGTAGGCGTGATCGAGTCCGTATATTAATAAAAGCATAAGTCGTCAGCAAAAGCAGGAAAAAGTGCAACGGTAAAGAAAGCGGGAATCAGCACTAGCAAAAATTTGATATAACCATAATCAATATATTTCACAAGCATGTGTCAATATGTGAAATATTCGACATTAATTTGAAATGATATTCGTACTTACGATATTAACACAATGACGTGTGTGTATAATTTCACAAAATGCACGAAAATCAATGATTGTTATTCAGTAATTATCTAATGCTATTCATGATTATTATCGACTTATAATAATAATTGAAAATAAAAATTAATAAGTAACATTTTTAGATGACAAAGACTTATAATATATTTTAACAGAAATATGTATTGTTTGATACTTTATGCGTATGTGTGTACTTATTCGTACAAAGAAACACAGATGTTATTAGAAAAAACTGAAAATGTAAATACAAATCGTTGAATTCCTTTTTTTAAATAATATTTTACCGCAAGTTGTACAAACTAACGATTTATCACAAAAACTTTAAATTTCATAAGATTATTTTTCATATTTTTACCTTTTTTGTATAAGGTGGGGAACGATCTGGCATTCTCCTTTTGCAGTTTTTCCAATCATTGGTGTGAAACGGTACAGTGACATTGATCGGTGGGAGTCCTTTGGATCACTAAGGAAAAATTGTTGTAATTGTCTGCTTATTGGCATAAGAAGAAAAAATAAAATTCGAAGAAAAAGAAGATTCTGTATTCACAATATTAATTTAAAAAGGCAGTTGTAGGGAGAATATTATACTTTATTTAAAGACTTATTAAATGATGATGAACGATTTTTCAGATATTTCATTTGACATACAAGAAATTTCAAGGATTGCGACATATACTAAAACTTATATAAAATATATATCGAAACGAAGGTCGAAATCACCAGTTTTAGTGGAAAATCTACTAAATTGGCAACATTAGACAACACTGAGTTATCAGCACGCGTCAGACGTACTGCGTTATATGACCTAATCAGCATGTTCCTTTATATCCGAATATCTACCGTATTTTATAAAATACGGCGCGTACAGTGCGGCTGCAATGTGTAAGGTCTCGTATGATTTCACACAACGAAATCGAAAATGCGGCGAGTAGGGCGCGTACGGTACGTGCAGTGCTGGCAATTGTGCGTTTAGCTTTAGTAAGAAGTGGTGCTGCGTGCAGGTGTACGAGCTGGATGCGGGTGCGCTGCGCGCGCTGCACGACGCGCTGCTGCTGCAGCTGGCGCCGCACGCGCCGCGCGCCGCCCGCCTCTACCCGCCGCCCACCCCGCCCGCCCCGTCAGTCCAGACCGCCCCACCAGCCGGTACCCTACACTGACTACTATACACCATTCACCCATTCATCACTGTCATCTGTATACTGCAATGTCTTCTATACCGATCGGTCACAGCGGCCAGACTGAACGGAGACTAGCCATCTGCGTAGGATATTACTATAATACGTGAGTGTGTGTACAAGCATAGGTGCTCTCTTTTCCTCACTTTTATAATCCGATGGGACGGTAATCCAACACGACTGGAGAGCAGGTGCAGGACCAATGGCTTTACTTGCTTTCCGAGGCGCGGCACGAGGATAAAACACCGCCAACTTCCTGACTCCGGGATGCTACCACAGTTTAGAGCTTACTTGATGTCAAGCAATACTGCCGCCCGCGTAGGTATTTACGTGACCATTTTCATGACCTCCGCTAGAATACACATGCTAGCGGAGGTCATGAAAAGCATGTGTATTCTAGCGGAGGTCATGAAAATAGAAATAAAATAATTTAGGATATTATAATACTCATCATCATTTATTATAACATTATGTGCGTACTTATTAATTATAAACAGTTATCGTACAAGATCATTTTTATTACTACAAGAGAAAACACATTTATGGTACAAGTGTTGCACTGCGAGATATTCTCGTGACACTTTCCTATCAAATGGTCACATCGTCCCGTCAGCGTCGCGTAATAGGCAACAGAGGAAATTGAAACAAAAGATGGACAGCAGCGTCCTCCTGATATCAACTCAAAATAATAAAAAGTTTCGGTTGCCAACCCTCTTGCCAAGCGACGCTACTACGGCAAATATCCCCCTGAAGTAATTTATGGGAGAGGCCTACGTTCAGCAGTGGTCTTTTCTTAGGCTGTAATGTTAATGGTATTTGTAATTAAACGTATGAACTTAATTTTGAGTGTTACCCCCCCCCCCCCCCCCCCACTGTATACATAATTTGCCATTACACATTGCACTTGGCAATCGCAATACCAGATGTTAAAAAATGGTTACAGCTTACCAAACGTCCACTGCTGAACATAGGCCACCCCCCACAGATTGCCTTATAGGGAGGAATTTTGGCATAGCTGCCACGCTTGGCAGCGGCTTGGAGTTAATTTATTTACTAAAAAAATTGGACCTAATTTAAATTTTTTTTTTAATATTTCTACTATACTTAAGATTAGTACGTCTAATATTTGCAATATTGTTTTTGAAATGGAGATTTAGACAATTTTTTATACGTCCGTAGCATCTGGCGGGCGCAGCAGTGTAGGCATCCCGGAGACATTGCGCGTGGAGTGGTTTGGACGACCGCGAGTTCACCAGCATAAAGGTTTCGCACCCGCATTGTTGCTGTTGGGTGGACCAGAACTTCTGTTCTATCTCTGTGCTAGGGTGAGCCATTTTGTATGTTCTCCTCTATCCTTTCCTTTCCTCCTCAATTTTATCTCACGGAACATTGTGTATATGTTTTAATAAAATATTAGGATTGTTGTTTTGAATTCATTGAAATGGTTTGTGATTTCTATTTTACTGCCGAATTTAAATTAATTTATTAACTTTTTACAAGTACATTTATTATTTTATTAAAAGTGTATACAGTCGTTGGTTTTAGATGTTGTATGGTAACGTAGTTTTAAATTTAAAGTATTTTCTGGTTTTGTTAGTGAAATAAGTTACTACAGTAGTAATAAATGTATTCATATATGAAAAGCAACAATTTGTGTATTTGCACAAATGTTGGTTTTTATTACCGTTTGAACATATAATCCTTTCTCATAAATTGTATTATAGTGGGGGGTGGGGGGTATTTTTGCTATAGTTATTATGCTTGGCTGGCGGGTTGGTAACCGCAGTTTTGTATTTTCTAGTTATTAGGAAGATGCTGTTGTTTGTTGGTGCGTTTTTCTTTGTCCTTAAATTACGAGTACTCTTATAGGTGTCGTAAGAAAGATAGTGGATATTTTTACACTGCTACTACACGGTGATATGTTGGGTTTGTGTTGTGGTTGAGGAGTTTAGTAGCCGTGGCTTAGCTGTCCACGATAAACTAACTGCTCGAGAAGGGGTGCCATAAGGCGCTGGCGTTGACGCTGGCGTGGCCGTGGATGTATGCAAAAGAGTTCTTGTGGCTTTGTCAAAATATGGCGAAAGTGGAAAACCGTGGGGTTTTAATAGGTGCAAATTTGACATATTTTGTTTTTGGTCTAGCGGGGTGGGCAGTTACCGTGTGTCATCCTTAACCGTGTATTGGTGGTGTAAGATTATCCATTATCTTTTATTATTTTGTGGGTGTTGTAAGAGGTGATAGAGGGCAATAAATCACAAGATGGGTAATAGCGTTATCTAATAGAGACTCAAATAATAAAATTTTGCTTGCTAATTTGTTTGTTAAGCATGCAACCTATGGCAAATAAATGCCCCCCTATAAGGCAATCTATGGGGGAGGTTTATATTCAACAGTGGAATTTAATAATATGTAACGGTAATGGGCCGAGAGTCAAAATAAGTTAAGGATAGTTGAGAAGTATGTTGGTCGGTCGAGCCGGATGGTGGGAGGTTGATGTGTCGAGACGGATGGTGACGGCAGGTGGTGGAGGCGGGTGGGAGCGCACGCGAGCAGGCGGGCGCGCTGCGCGTGCTGCTGCGGGCGGCGCGCGGCGACGCGCGCGTGCGCGGCGCCACGCTGCGGCCGCGCGCGCTGCGCCTGCTGCTGCCCGTGCTGGCGGCGCCGCGCTGCCGCGTCTCTGCGCACCTGCTGCAGGTGCGCACCAACACCCTCACTTCACCTATATCCTCTCACCGCGCGCGCTGCGCCTGCTGCTGCCCGTGCTGGCGGCGCCGCGCTGCCGCGTCTCTGCGCACCTGCTGCAGGTGCGCACCAACACCCTCACTTCACCTATATCCTCTCACCGCGCGCGCTGCGCCTGCTGCTGCCCGTGCTGGCGGCGCCGCGCTGCCGCGTCTCTGCGCACCTGCTGCAGGTGCGCACCAACACCCTCACTTCACCTATATCCTCTCACCGCGCGCGCTGCGCCTGCTGCTGCCCGTGCTGGCGGCGCCGCGCTGCCGCGTCTCTGCGCACCTGCTGCAGGTGCGCACCAACACCCTCACTTCACCTATATCCTCTCACCGCGCGCGCTGCGCCTGCTGCTGCCCGTGCTGGCGGCGCCGCGCTGCCGCGTCTCTGCGCACCTGCTGCAGGTGCGCACCAACACCCTCACTTCACCTATATCCTCTCACCGCGCGCGCTGCGCCTGCTGCTGCCCGTGCTGGCGGCGCCGCGCTGCCGCGTCTCTGCGCACCTGCTGCAGGTGCGCACCAACACCCTCACTTCACCTATATCCTCTCACCGCGCGCGCTGCGCCTGCTGCTGCCCGTGCTGGCGGCGCCGCGCTGCCGCGTCTCTGCGCACCTGCTGCAGGTGCGCACCAACACCCTCACTTCACCTATATCCTCTCACCGCGCGCGCTGCGCCTGCTGCTGCCCGTGCTGGCGGCGCCGCGCTGCCGCGTCTCTGCGCAGCTGCTGCAGGTGCGCACCAACACCCTCACTTCACCTATATCCTCTCACCGCGCGCGCTGCGCCTGCTGCTGCCCGTGCTGGCGGCGCCGCGCTGCCGCGTCTCTGCGCACCTGCTGCAGGTGCGCACCAACACCCTCACTTCACCTATATCCTCTCACCGCGCGCGCTGCGCCTGCTGCTGCCCGTGCTGGCGGCGCCGCGCTGCCGCGTCTCTGCGCAGCTGCTGCAGGTGCGCACCAACACCCTCACTTCACCTATATCCTCTCACCGCGCGCGCTGCGCCTGCTGCTGCCCGTGCTGGCGGCGCCGCGCTGCCGCGTCTCTGCGCACCTGCTGCAGGTGCGCACCAACACCCTCACTTCACCTATATCCTCTCACCGCGCGCGCTGCGCCTGCTGCTGCCCGTGCTGGCGGCGCCGCGCTGCCGCGTCTCTGCGCACCTGCTGCAGGTGCGCACCAACACCCTCACTTCACCTATATCCTCTCACCGCGCGCGCTGCGCCTGCTGCTGCCCGTGCTGGCGGCGCCGCGCTGCCGCGTCTCTGCGCACCTGCTGCAGGTGCGCACCAACACCCTCACTTCACCTATATCCTCTCACCGCGCGCGCTGCGCCTGCTGCTGCCCGTGCTGGCGGCGCCGCGCTGCCGCGTCTCTGCGCACCTGCTGCAGGTGCGCACCAACACCCTCACTTCACCTATATCCTCTCACCGCGCGCGCTGCGCCTGCTGCTGCCCGTGCTGGCGGCGCCGCGCTGCCGCGTCTCTGCGCACCTGCTGCAGGTGCGCACCAACACCCTCACTTCACCTATATCCTCTCACCGCGCGCGCTGCGCCTGCTGCTGCCCGTGCTGGCGGCGCCGCGCTGCCGCGTCTCTGCGCACCTGCTGCAGGTGCGCACCAACACCCTCACTTCACCTATATCCTCTCACCGCGCGCGCTGCGCCTGCTGCTGCCCGTGCTGGCGGCGCCGCGCTGCCGCGTCTCTGCGCACCTGCTGCAGGTGCGCACCGCCACCCTCACTTCACCTATATCCTCTCACCGCGCGCGCTGCGCCTGCTGCTGCCCGTGCTGGCGGCGCCGCGCTGCCGCGTCTCTGCGCACCTGCTGCAGGTGCGCACCAACACCCTCACTTCACCTATATCCTCTCACCGCGCGCGCTGCGCCTGCTGCTGCCCGTGCTGGCGGCGCCGCGCTGCCGCGTCTCTGCGCACCTGCTGCAGGTGCGCACCAACACCCTCACTTCACCTATATCCTCTCACCGCGCGCGCTGCGCCTGCTGCTGCCCGTGCTGGCGGCGCCGCGCTGCCGCGTCTCTGCGCACCTGCTGCAGGTGCGCACCAACACCCTCACTTCACCTATATCCTCTCACCGCGCGCGCTGCGCCTGCTGCTGCCCGTGCTGGCGGCGCCGCGCTGCCGCGTCTCTGCGCACCTGCTGCAGGTGCGCACCAACACCCTCACTTCACCTATATCCTCTCACCGCGCGCGCTGCGCCTGCTGCTGCCCGTGCTGGCGGCGCCGCGCTGCCGCGTCTCTGCGCACCTGCTGCAGGTGCGCACCAACACCCTCACTTCACCTATATCCTCTCACCGCGCGCGCTGCGCCTGCTGCTGCCCGTGCTGGCGGCGCCGCGCTGCCGCGTCTCTGCGCAGCTGCTGCAGGTGCGCACCAACACCCTCACTTCACCTATATCCTCTCACCGCGCGCGCTGCGCCTGCTGCTGCCCGTGCTGGCGGCGCCGCGCTGCCGCGTCTCTGCGCACCTGCTGCAGGTGCGCACCAACACCCTCACTTCACCTATATCCTCTCACCGCGCGCGCTGCGCCTGCTGCTGCCCGTGCTGGCGGCGCCGCGCTGCCGCGTCTCTGCGCACCTGCTGCAGGTGCGCACCAACACCCTCACTTCACCTATATCCTCTCACCGCGCGCGCTGCGCCTGCTGCTGCCCGTGCTGGCGGCGCCGCGCTGCCGCGTCTCTGCGCACCTGCTGCAGGTGCGCACCAACACCCTCACTTCACCTATATCCTCTCACCGCGCGCGCTGCGCCTGCTGCTGCCCGTGCTGGCGGCGCCGCGCTGCCGCGTCTCTGCGCACCTGCTGCAGGTGCGCACCGCCACCCTCACTTCACCTATATCCTCTCACCGCGCGCGCTGCGCCTGCTGCTGCCCGTGCTGGCGGCGCCGCGCTGCCGCGTCTCTGCGCACCTGCTGCAGGTGCGCACCAACACCCTCACTTCACCTATATCCTCTCACCGCGCGCGCTGCGCCTGCTGCTGCCCGTGCTGGCGGCGCCGCGCTGCCGCGTCTCTGCGCACCTGCTGCAGGTGCGCACCAACACCCTCACTTCACCTATATCCTCTCACCGCGCGCGCTGCGCCTGCTGCTGCCCGTGCTGGCGGCGCCGCGCTGCCGCGTCTCTGCGCACCTGCTGCAGGTGCGCACCAACACCCTCACTTCACCTATATCCTCTCACCGCGCGCGCTGCGCCTGCTGCTGCCCGTGCTGGCGGCGCCGCGCTGCCGCGTCTCTGCGCACCTGCTGCAGGTGCGCACCAACACCCTCACTTCACCTATATCCTCTCACCGCGCGCGCTGCGCCTGCTGCTGCCCGTGCTGGCGGCGCCGCGCTGCCGCGTCTCTGCGCACCTGCTGCAGGTGCGCACCAACACCCTCACTTCACCTATATCCTCTCACCGCGCGCGCTGCGCCTGCTGCTGCCCGTGCTGGCGGCGCCGCGCTGCCGCGTCTCTGCGCACCTGCTGCAGGTGCGCACCAACACCCTCACTTCACCTATATCCTCTCACCGCGCGCGCTGCGCCTGCTGCTGCCCGTGCTGGCGGCGCCGCGCTGCCGCGTCTCTGCGCACCTGCTGCAGGTGCGCACCAACACCCTCACTTCACCTATATCCTCTCACCGCGCGCGCTGCGCCTGCTGCTGCCCGTGCTGGCGGCGCCGCGCTGCCGCGTCTCTGCGCACCTGCTGCAGGTGCGCACCAACACCCTCACTTCACCTATATCCTCTCACCGCGCGCGCTGCGCCTGCTGCTGCCCGTGCTGGCGGCGCCGCGCTGCCGCGTCTCTGCGCACCTGCTGCAGGTGCGCACCAACACCCTCACTTCACCTATATCCTCTCACCGCGCGCGCTGCGCCTGCTGCTGCCCGTGCTGGCGGCGCCGCGCTGCCGCGTCTCTGCGCACCTGCTGCAGGTGCGCACCAACACCCTCACTTCACCTATATCCTCTCACCGCGCGCGCTGCGCCTGCTGCTGCCCGTGCTGGCGGCGCCGCGCTGCCGCGTCTCTGCGCACCTGCTGCAGGTGCGCACCAACACCCTCACTTCACCTATATCCTCTCACCGCGCGCGCTGCGCCTGCTGCTGCCCGTGCTGGCGGCGCCGCGCTGCCGCGTCTCTGCGCACCTGCTGCAGGTGCGCACCAACACCCTCACTTCACCTATATCCTCTCACCGCGCGCGCTGCGCCTGCTGCTGCCCGTGCTGGCGGCGCCGCGCTGCCGCGTCTCTGCGCACCTGCTGCAGGTGCGCACCAACACCCTCACTTCACCTATATCCTCTCACCGCGCGCGCTGCGCCTGCTGCTGCCCGTGCTGGCGGCGCCGCGCTGCCGCGTCTCTGCGCACCTGCTGCAGGTGCGCACCAACACCCTCACTTCACCTATATCCTCTCACCGCGCGCGCTGCGCCTGCTGCTGCCCGTGCTGGCGGCGCCGCGCTGCCGCGTCTCTGCGCACCTGCTGCAGGTGCGCACCGCCACCCTCACTTCACCTATATCCTCTCACCGCGCGCGCTGCGCCTGCTGCTGCCCGTGCTGGCGGCGCCGCGCTGCCGCGTCTCTGCGCACCTGCTGCAGGTGCGCACCAACACCCTCACTTCACCTATATCCTCTCACCGCGCGCGCTGCGCCTGCTGCTGCCCGTGCTGGCGGCGCCGCGCTGCCGCGTCTCTGCGCACCTGCTGCAGGTGCGCACCAACACCCTCACTTCACCTATATCCTCTCACCGCGCGCGCTGCGCCTGCTGCTGCCCGTGCTGGCGGCGCCGCGCTGCCGCGTCTCTGCGCACCTGCTGCAGGTGCGCACCAACACCCTCACTTCACCTATATCCTCTCACCGCGCGCGCTGCGCCTGCTGCTGCCCGTGCTGGCGGCGCCGCGCTGCCGCGTCTCTGCGCACCTGCTGCAGGTGCGCACCAACACCCTCACTTCACCTATATCCTCTCACCGCGCGCGCTG